CCTGGCAGCGGGCTCAAGGCCGGGCTCGGAGCGTAGTCAAGCCCAAGCCCGGCCCGGAAGCCCAGGCTTGGGTGTGCTGGCTCCGTTACCGTTCCCTGAGTTCAGAATAAGGAGAGAGCGACCTAATATGCACATAGAAGACAAAATGTAGATATTCTAGATGTAACGGCTCTCGCCGAGCACGATTGTGCGTCACCATCTGGTGCCTGCCGTAGGCGCACGCCCGTGGACTTCGCTGCAACTCGACTTATTCCGCAGGTGTAGATCTTCTGGAGGTTATAATTTAGTGAGTACATGCAGTATTAATCTACTACACCCAAATACATTCCCTTTTGATAGCACCGGAACACTCGTTGTATTGTGAGCAAGCCCGGGCTTAAGCCCAAGGGCTCGGGCTCGGCTCGGGCTCAGGGCTCGGCTCGACGTCGTCACAAGCCCAAGCCCGGGCTTTGAGCCCAAGCCGGGCCCGCACATCACTACTTGCCACATTGATGACGAAAGCTTACGTTGCGCAAGATTCTCAGAAGCAGTACTGGATACCTAATAGCAAGCTCTAAGCGTCGATAATACAGTTTTGCGGGCTGGACAACCCTGGACAGCTGCATTGTTACGTGCTCGCGTTCGGTCGGCCTTCCGATGCGACGCGGCCTCGGGCAGAACGCAGCACACACATGCCGGGAAGCCTTGCGAGCAACTCAAGGGCCCATCAAAAGCGTCTGAAAGCGCTAGGTGGCCACTACCACCTGTGATAACCGTGTTGAAAGTACGCAGCTCGTAAGATCGTGCTGCTTGGCTATTGTGCGGACGTTCCGCACCGTACGCTCTTGCGACACCGCCACATATTGAGGCATCGGGGTTAGCTCACATTATAAACTACGAAGACATTGATATCCCTCACCGTCGCAGATAGTGTGTGCGGTGGTTTCCTGGACGTGTTGGTTCTTGGGGCGAGAAAGCTCAACGCTACCCAGCGGGCCTCTACGCAGGGTTCCACTCAAAGTGCTCCGAACCCTAATTATACTTGCCCACCCAGCCGTTCCACGTCGGACTTGTGTGCGCAAAATCAGTCGAACTCGGTTTCCATGGACATCACTTGTGGACTGACTTAGCCTTTCCGTCCGTGATTTAAGTGTTCATGCTCGAAACAAGTTCGTTCGTGATCGGGAGTTTTAGTCCGAAATCTCCGTTCCGGTGAATTTGATATTTGCCGGTCGTCCGCTCTGTCACGTCTGCCACACGAGAGAAATTTGGAACTTTTTGGTCGCAAAAAATATGCGAAAACAGCCTGAAAAAATAAGTAAGAAAATGCCATATTTTTCCTCCCGGTATCCGGCGGCCCGGCGACTCGGCAACCCGGCAGCCGAGCCGATTGTCCGCCGGGTGCCGCAGCCACGGGCGCTTTGACAATGGCCTGGCGGACAATCGGCTCGGCTG